TGGGCCTCTCCTGGGCCCCAACCTGCTCTGCTTGCCCAACAGCGGCCTGGATGAAGGAGAGGACCTCACCCAGGGCTATCCATTGCTGCGGTGAGCCTCCGGCAGGGCGGGGAGGGCCGCAGGAGGGCGGGAGGCTGCGGCTGCCCACTCACTGGGCCTCCCTGGCCTGCAGCCTCTGCCGGGGAGGACAGCTGGGCCGACAGCGAGGTGGACTCGTCCTGCTCGGGGCAGCCCATCCACCTGTGGCAGTTCCTGCGTGAGCTGCTGCTCAAGCCCCACAGCTACGGCCGCCTCATCCGCTGGCTCAACAAGGAGAAGGGTGAGCGCGGGCTCCAAGGCTGGCGGGCTGAGGATCTGCAGGAGCCACCCCACCTCTGCCCGGGATGTTGCCCAGGGTCTGGGTGGGGTCTGTGTCCTCATCCTCGTGACCCGGCCGCACCCTGTCCTGTTTGGCTCCTTGGCCCTGCCCAGGGCCTGGAAGGAGGCTGAGACGCAAGTCTTTGTCCTCAAAGCGGCAAAATTTCAAGCTGGCCGTGGCGGGCACATCTGGAATCTCAGCTCCCCAGGAGGCTGAGGCGGGACAAAGGCGAGTTTGAGGCCAGCCTGGGCAACTTAGTGAGACCCTACCCCAATATAAAACGCAGCAGGTCCAGGGTGAAGCCCAGTGGCCGAGCGCTTGCCTAGCATGCAAAGGCCCTGCTTCCTGCCTCAGCACCGCCAACAGAAGAGCACCCTAACTTCCCCGGGGAGACGAGGGTTCCCCAAAGAGAAGTACAGTGTGAGGTTGGATCAGATGCTCCAGTACCTGTGTTTAAACCAAGCCCAGGGCTTGCAGCATGGGGCGCAAACCCCACCCACAGGAGCAGAGGCTGGCGACAGGGCCAGGCTTCAGAACCCCAAAGAACCCCCGATGCACACAGCAGCCCCCCCAGAAGAGTGACTCACGGGGCCGTGGCTAACCCTCCGTCCATCTGCCCTGATCTTTGGTCTGTGCTGCCCTTCTCCCTCGGGGCCCTCCGGCTCCCCCAGGCATCTTCAAAATCGAGGACTCTGCCCAGGTGGCCCGGCTGTGGGGCATCCGTAAGAACCGGCCCGCCATGAACTATGACAAGCTGAGCCGCTCCATCCGCCAGTATTACAAGAAGGGGATCATCCGGAAGCCCGACATCTCCCAGCGCCTGGTCTACCAGTTCGTGCACCCCATCTGAGGCCCCGGCCACCCTGGCCACCCTGGCCACCCTGTCCTGCTGCCATTGCCCTGGCCAGATCTGGCTCGGCCCTGGGGGAAAAGGGCAGCCTGGGGCTGGGCCCCAAGCACAAGGTCGGGGGGTACAGTGAGCTCCCTGCAACCCAGGCCCTTTCTGCTTACATGGACAGTGCCCTGGCGGACACAGGGGAACGAGCCCCTTCACCTCCACTCAGAGCAGCAGGGACTTGGCCGAGGCTGCACAGGGTGGGAGTGGGGTGTCCTCTGCTATAAGCCCTGGCGCCCACTCTGCCCGGCTCTGGCGTGGGGCCAGGGGCGTCTGCACCCTGAGGCAGGAGCCGGGAGTGCCCCTGGGAGGGGGGAACAAATGTGAGAGAACTGGCAGGTCCTCGGGGTCCGTGCAAGGAATGGGACAGCCTGGAGCCGTCAGGGGCAAGTGGTCACAGAGGGTCATGCATGGTGATGCACACACCTGTGATCCCAGCACTGGGAGGCTGAGGCAGGAGGGTGGCAAGGTGGAGCCCACTCTAGGCAATTTACGAATTTAGCAAGACCCTGTCTCACAGTAAAATAAAAATAAAAGGGGGAATGTTAGCTCAGTGTGAAGGCCCTGGGTTCCACAACAAAATCATTTTTAAAAATTGTTTTGGTTACAGGGGCCTGGGGTGGGCAAGGGAAGGTGGCTTTGAGCTGAGCCTAAAAGGCAAGAGAGGATGGGTTGGTAGCAGCTTGTGGGAAAGCTGGTGAAGGGTCCAGGCCAGGAGGGCGGGAGGAACCATCACATCCCTCGCAGGGAGAGGCCCCTGGGGCACGGGCGGGGTGGAGAACAGTGCCGGTTTGCTTGTGCGCAGGGAGGCCACGCCCACCGCCACTGTCCAGCCCCAGCATCCACCTCCCACCTCCCAGGTGTCCACTGTGTGCCCACGGCTTCCTCATTGTTGACCCTTCCCAACAAAACTCCCCCATTTCACAGGTGACACAGCTGAAGCTCAGGCTAAGGGACACTCAGGGACACACAGCTGATTCCCAGCAGACCTGGGGTGCCCATCTTCCCCTCAGGACAGGGCCGTCCCTGCCCCGCCATCCCTCGGGACTCGAGACGGTCAGACGGTCGGCACCTTTGGTGCCCGTAACCTTCAGCCTCCATCCACAGCCAGGCTCCCAGGAAACCCCGGGAGCCGGCCCCACCCAGGGCGCCAAGGGTTAACTGCGGCCCTGGACTCCTGCCTTCTGCCCGCAGCGATTTTATTGTCTTCAGAAGAAAGTTTACTCCTGGCAGTGAGCAAACAGCGCCTTGGCATCTGCCAGCTGGGACTGGACCCGAGGGGGAGGGGCCTGGTGTCTCCTGCCCCGGGGACTGGGACCCCAGCCAGAGCCGGCTCTGCTCTGCTGAACGAACTGGTTTTGTCTCCGGCCAGGCGGCCCTGCCCCGAGTGAGTCCCGGGCCTCTGGTGCAGATGTCCCAGCGGGGCCAGGTCCTGGGCAGCTGGCAGAGCTCAGGTGGGAGTGAGAGGCTGGGCGTGGGGAGCAGGGAGGCTCTTGGGGTGCAGGCAGCCCTGTACAGCAGTGCCTGGCAGGCCTGCGCCATCCGGGGACACCCCACGAGCCGGCAGCTGTCCAGGGCCTCCCCCCCCATACCCCTCCCTTTGAAGGCCCCGCCCAGCCAGGGTGTCCCAGAACCCCTCCTCAGGGCCTAAAGGGACAGCTCTGCAGATGAGACAGATGAGGCAGCATGCAGTCTATCTTCACTTGATTCTGATTTCAGATGGAGGTGGATTTGGGGGCACTGGGAGGAGAGGGCTCAGTCCCCCTCCCTGCCCTGAGCACAGTTTGAGGCAAGGGGAGGGGATGGGGTAAGGTGTTCTTTTTGTTGTTTTTGTTAGTTTGTTTTTTTGTTTTTTGAGACAGGGTCTCACTATGTAGTTGAGACTGACCTGGAGCTCACTGTGTAGCCCAGGCTGGTCTCGAACTTGCAGCAATCCTCCTGCCTCAGCCTCCTGAGTGCTGAGATTACAGGTGTGCCCCACCATGCCTGGCTTCTTGTTGTTATTTTTCAGTACTGGGGATGGAATCCAGGGCCTGGCAAATACCACGGAGTTATGTATTTATGTAACTTTTTTTTTTTCGAGACTGTCTTGTTAAATTGCTCAGGCTGGTCTCCAATGTGCGATCCTCCTGCCTCAGCCGCCTAACAAGCTAGGATTACAGGTGTGCCCCATCACACCCACTGAGGGAGGCTGGGCTTGCGTCAGTGCCCTGCCCAACTACTAGAGCCAGTGAGGCCTCAGAGAGATGTCTCACCAGACTGGTCCAGGGGGGCACTGCCCTGTGGGGGACCTGGGTACAGTGGGGCACGAGGGATGTTCTGGGACTGGACTCGGAGTTGACACTGGGGCAGGTCAGGACCTGGCAGAAGCACTGAGAGCCCAGAGCTCCAGTCCCACCCAGACCTGAGTGCTCACTCTCCCAGGGTTGCCCAGAGAACAGCCACGGAGCAGGCAGGCCACAAGGGCCTGGTGTCACACGAAGGGAGCCTGGGCCCAAGGCGCAAGAACCTTTGGTAATCTCTTTGAGAATTCTGCTTTTAAACCCCAAGTATGAGCTGGAAGTGTGGCACGCACCTGTAATCCCAGCAGTCTGGGAGCCTGAGGCAGGAGGATCTCAGATTCCAGCGCAGTCTGGGAAATGCAACCAGATCCTGTCTCAAAATAAAAAATTTTTACAGGGCCAGGGATTTAGCTCAGTGGTTCTGCTGCCTGCCTCAAAAGCACAAGGTACCAGGGATTTTTTAAAAAATTTTTTTTCGAAGGGGAGGGGTTGTGGCTCGGTGTACAGGCCTTCAGTGCAATCCCTGGTACTGGAAAAAGAAAAAACCACAGCTACACGGGGCCAAAGTCACCTTTGACCCATGCCATAAGCTTAGGACCCTGAATGACCCAGCCCTCTGGGGCGGTGAGGGCCCAGCACGTGTTCACCTAGCCAGGACAGCACCAGCTCGAGGTGCACCTCCCCGACAGATGTCCCAACCCCCGAAGAAGACACAGGACTCAGGAGGAACACATCCAGCCAGGTTGACACAGCTCTGGATTTTATCCACAGTCTTACAGTCACAACTTATAGATATTTGTATTTATATACCTTTAAATTACACAATCATGTACAAAACAGGTGTGTTGCTGAGACCACAGCACTTCTCAGAGGTTCACAAGTGTCAGCACTAATGGAGTCAGGGAGCCTAGGGTGGCGGGCGGTGGTGGCCGTGGGCTGCACAATGGTCCTTAACTGGAGACAGACACGTGACTGGCGAGCCGCCGGGTGCAGCCTCACTTGGGTGGGCAGGGCGCAGGAGGCCCTGACACTAGCACTGACGGGTGGGGCCCTGAGCTCAGGGGACTCGCGGGTGTACCCTCCTGCATCGGGTCCTGTGTGGGGCTCCAAAGGGGTGGGTTCTCTAGTCCGTGCCCAGCACTGGGCAGCCAGAGGGCGGAGGGACAGGCCTGGGACCAGCCTGGCACAAAAGGGGAGCCCAGGCCCCAAGGTGTGGGCAAGCGTGAGGGGCAGAGCCCTGCTCCCCTCTGCTGGGTGGGCGAGGAGCTTTTGCCCTGCGAGTGGGCAGCTCTGGGCTCTGCGGGGTCCTGGGCATGGTTCAGGCTGCAGCAGAGGCCCAGAGCCCACGGATGTGAGGGTGCTGGCAGTTGGGGGATGCTTTCCCTGGATGCCATCACCCTTGGCTCTGAGCGAGGCCCACCCCAGCCCGGGCCCTGCCGAACCGTCAGCATCCTCAGCGCCCCCGCGGGGGAGGTCTGGGGCGGTGCGCTGCCTTTTCCTGGAGCCCCGAGGCCGCCACAGCAGGAAGCTAGAGGGGTCTGGGCTCCAGAGGCCTAGGGGTGGCGGTGCTCTCACCAAGCAAATCGGTCTCTGCCCCTCCCACCCAGGCTTGAGAGGTGGGGGTGCTGCCAGGCGGGGAATGTTGTTGGGGGTGGTTGGGGGACCAGGAAGAAAGACACAATGACAGTCCTGCCCGAGGCCCAAGGTGCTCTCTCCTGCGCCACTGGACTGCGGGACTTGCCCTGATGGCCCAGGCCGGAGGCGCCCATGGCCCCTGCTAACTCCCCAGGCTCGGGAGGGAAGGGGGGGATGGCCTAGGCCAGGAGCCCTGCAGGCACAAGGTGGGTGCTGTGCTCTAGGCTCCACGGTGGTGGATAGAGGGGCGGGCGGGAGGCTGGGTGGCAGGGCAAGACACCCCCTCCCCAGGAAACGGGAGGGGGCTGCTACTGTTGCTGGCTTTGCCCTGGGTTTGGGGGCCGGGCCCTGGGCCGACGGACTTGGGGGCGGTCTCTGCAAGCGACTGAGGGATGAGGCTCTGAGGAGGGGTTCTGCCCGGGTGCTGGAGGCTGGGCAGAGGGTCTTGGCGCACAGATGGGCCTGGCTTTGGGGCTGGCACAGCCCATGCTGAGGGCATGCAGTGATGCCGCCCCCATCCACTCGCCCCTCTTCGTGTCTGGGGACGTCTAGGAACGCCTGGAAATCTCTACAGGAAAGGAGGGTGACCCTTCCTCCTCCAGCCCCAGCGGCCCCGGGGGATGGGGCTGGGAGCGTGGAAGCCTAGACTGGCCGCCTCCCTTCTTGGGAGAGGAGGAAGAGGTTAGGAAGCCAGGCCCGGAGAACAGGGCCGGTGTTGGCGTCTGCGGTGGGCGGGGCAGGGGAACAGTGAGGAGCGTGGGTCCAGATGTCCCTCGGGGCTCGGGACACTCTTTGGTGGACTCTGAAGAGCAGATGCGATGCTGGACTAAGTCCTAAGACCTCAGCCACCCTGGGGCCATCGTCCCAAGTTCCACCACCCTGGCCTCCAGGGCGTCCTGCAAATGCTCCATCTCTTTATATTTTTTGTTCTGTTTTGACTTTTAAAAAAATAAAAGCTTGATCGGAAAATATGTCTGGAACTCTATGACGAGGGAGGGAGAGGCGTGGGAGAGGAGGGCAGCGGTGGGACGTTCCACGTACCACGTAGTTGGCGGGGTAGAGGCCCAGCTGCCCGCTGTCCAGCCGCCCGCGGCACCAGCCCTGCTCGTCCTCTTCGCCCAGCTTGGTGAGCTCGTCTCCTGGGAAGGGAACACGGGGAGGGATGATGGTACTGACAGCAGCGAGGCTGGCCTCCCTCCACGGACCCGCCCGGTGAGGCCTCCAAAGCCCGCTCCACGCTCCACGTAGTTGGCGGGGTAGAGGCCCAGCTGCCCGCTGTCCAGCCGCCCGCGGCACCAGCCCTGCTCGTCCTCTTCGCCCAGCTTGGTGAGCTCGTCTCCTGGGAAGGGAACACGGGGAGGGATGATGGTACTGACAGCAGCGAGGCTGGCCTCCCTCCACGGACCCGCCCGGTGAGGCCTCCAAAGCCCGCTCCACGCTGCTGTGCAATGCCTGGCCCTGTCCGCTCGCTGCCCCTTGGGTTCTGGCCGCGGCCCGCCCCAGTCCCGATCCAACACCGATGCGCCTCTCCTGGCGCAGAGACCCGGTCGCTAATATATGAGAAAATTGAGGATCAGAAGTCCCTGGACTGTTCTTTGTAAAAGAGGTAGTATCCTAA